GGGGGGGCTCTCACGACTTCCTACCATTATATCTAATTATGTCTGCCTGCCACCGCGTTAATCGTCAGTATCTGACACATCAGTTTGTCTACTTGCATGGGTTGTCTGTCTGTCTGTCTGTCTGTCTGTCTGTCTGTCTGTCTGTCTGTTCGTCTATTTGTCTGTCTTTCTGTCTGTCCGACTGTCTGTCTGTTTTTCTGTCTGCCCGCCTTCCCGTCTATCTGCCTGTCTGCCCGTTTTTTAAAATAAAAAATTCTTTAAAGAAAATAATACCCTCCGGAAAAAAACACTACTTTCAAAAGTGAAAAGGCCTCGGTATTTCAAGAACGACCGCTATTTTCCTGAGCCAAAGAGTAATTCAGCCAAAGCTCGCATTACTCACGAGCGGCGTGTTTGAGTAGATGGATGGACAGAAGGAGAAACCTTTACCAAAGCGGTGTGTTGTGTTGGGCTCAATGGAATGTAGGATCAGGGAAAAGGGCGCAGCATTCGTCCGAAAAGCCCAAAAGATTAAGACTGCATCACACCGTAGTTTGTTTTTTTTTCGCATTTTTTTTTTCACTTCTTCACTATTTTCGTTCGAAATGAAAAGAAGGATTGTTTTATACCTTAGGAAGCTGCTTCTAAATTGAAGTGTGAAAAAGGCATAACATGCACCTAAAAAGTCCAAATAATTAAGACTGCGTCGCGCCACGTTTAAAAAAAAATCTCCCTTTCTTCTATAATTTCGTTCTAAAGGAAAAGCAGACTTGTTTTACAACGTAAAAACCGGCGTCTGAATTGAAAATGTGTAGACAAACCACTGATGATTCTCTTCTCTTAGATAGTCGGAAAGAATCAAACACGAAATTGACCTAATGCAGTTGCGAGTGCCGTAAAACCTCTACTAAATTATTTTAAAAAAAACAACAACCTGAAATGACGTAACATTTGTTGCTTGCAGTCATTAACACAAGTCGGACCAGCTCTACTAACGACCACCTGTAAAAGACAATCAGCTGTACAAAAGACCACCCCTCACTGCCCCCCTGAAGTTTTTTTCTTCTATATATATTATGATGAAACTGTCAAAGATGTACACCTGTCTAAGACGACCACTCTCCCCTTACACCAGTGGCTGGTTTTCTGGACAGGCTGGGCTGTATTTTGGTTCTATCGCTGTGCTTGTCTCTCACCGTGCTAGTCAAACACTGCGCTAGTCACTCGAACACTAACTTCCAAGGCGAAGCACTTTTCCTTCTACACCGCTCTCGGTATTCGTGGGTTTCATTTCTACGACAACATCGATCGATACAGAGAGGAGAGAGGAACCCAAAATAGCTGGCTGCAGGCAGAACGCCAAGGTCACTGATTGACAC